GGACTATTATGGCCGATTAATAGCGCCATCTATAAATTTCAACGTCAAGGCATCACATCTGGTCTCTGCACACACGCGCAACACTCTCGCCTACATGGGGTTGGCACACTGAAATATACTATATTTGTTATTTATCAGTGGGTTGGCATCACGAATAGTTTACCACCAGAGAGAACAAGGGAACAACAGTCAACAGAGGAAAGTAAACCCAACAAACGAATCATCAAAAAGTGTCCGAAAAAAATAGTCAATTGTTGAAGAAGTGGTGAAAGCCAAAAAATATTTCACAAGAGTTTGAAGAGTCGTAGATAGAAAGTCCAAAGAAAATCTACAAAAATGGGGAAGAAGCAGCATCAAAAAGATAAAATGTACGTTGGACACGTTTTTTGGTTATAAATAGGCTCTTCAACGATTGTGATATTTTGCTTATAATATTCTGATAAGTGATCAATTTTTTCGACAATCTCTAATAAAACAACAGTAAGATGTCGAAATTTTTTTCAATTCTAAAGGGTTCCATAATTTCCAAATAAAATCAGGTATTTCAAAACTCCTGTCAAAACTCATTCACGTCCGTTTTCTGCGACAAACTCCCTAACTCCTTAGAAATTTAAGATCATGTAACTCATTAACACTGATCAAATATTGTTCAACTGGTTGCGTCGACAAATTACCAATCTTTAAAATGGTTTATCAGGAAATTTTATTAAGAACCTTACTTTTGAGGATTCTTTTGAATTATATGAATTGAGATATTTTTTCCACTTTTGGACATTCAAGGAGAATGATTTACTCCGAAATTAATGAACGTTAATTCATGAATGTTTTCATGGTAACCCATTATTGAACAAATCTTTTGATTTGTTCCATTTTTCCCATTGTAAAATGTTAAACGAAAACGACTCCAAAATACTAATTTCAGAGGTATTTACAAAATACTCGACATTAAATTTTGCAAACTGATTTCACATACTTTTGCTGCAATAATAATTATTAAGAGGAGACTACTATGAGTTGTAAAAGTCGCGGGCTTTTAAAGTGAGATTTCTCATGCTTTGAAGATTGATTATATATGTCTAAAAATGAATAATTAGTGTAAAAAAATTAATTGTTTAATGATCGTTTGCCCTGCAGATGCTTAAAATGTTAAAAATAGTCCAGGGTCTCCAATTTTTGAGCTACACTGGTTTTTTTTCAAAATTTTGAAATAAATGTGTACAATAACAATTACAAATTAGTTTTTTGAAATTCGACGCCTACACAGCTAATTTTATTTCGTTTAATATAAAAATTTGGACCATTCATGTAAAATTGGCAAAAAAATTATCCTTAAAATAACAATACAACCCATAACCCGTATTTGTTGGTTTTTATAGTATTTATATTAATATTTTAAATATTCTCAATTCTTTCAAAAACATTTGACGGGCTATTTTACATGAATAGTGCAATTTTTTATTAAAAAAAATGACTATGTTATTGCGCACATGTTTTCCAAAATTTTGAATAAAAACACCTCTGTGGCTGAAAATCTGGAGANTAAAATGTTAAAAATAGTCCAGGGTCTCCAATTTTTGAGCTACACTGGTTTTTTTTCAAAATTTTGAAATAAATGTGTACAATAACAATTACAAATTAGTTTTTTGAAATTCGACGCCTACACAGCTAATTTTATTTCGTTTAATATAAAAATTTGGACCATTCATGTAAAATTGGCAAAAAAATTATCCTTAAAATAACAATACAACCCATAACCCGTATTTGTTGGTTTTTATAGTATTTATATTAATATTTTAAATATTCTCAATTCTTTCAAAAACATTTGACGGGCTATTTTACATGAATAGTGCAATTTTTTATTAAAAAAAATGACTATGTTATTGCGCACATGTTTTCCAAAATTTTGAATAAAAACACCTCTGTGGCTGAAAATCTGGAGACCCTGGACTATTTTTAACATTTTAAGCGTTTGCGGGGTAAACGAACAATAAACAATTTTTTTGCACTAATCGATCTTCAATATATGGGAAATCTCATTCGAATAGCCCGCGACTTTTAAAACTCACAGTAGTTTTCCCTTAATTCATCTTGGAAACCGATGGCAGTTTATCTTTATCGATTCTTTGTGGCAATTTTTAATGACTGCCAAGGTCTTTCGACATTTTTTCCTAAAATTCGTCTATATTGTTGTTCAGGTACCTGACGTACACCGAGTGGACGACTTTATATGGAGGAAAAAGGACAGGAGACGATTTCAAAACCTCAGAGGACACAACGTTCCGACATCTACCCTTTAATCACTGCTGCGTGAGTTTACAGCCCTTCGAGCATCCTTACTGTGACCTTCAGGGCAATATTTTCGAATTGGAGCCACTGTTAAACTACATAAAACAGTTTAAACATAATCCAGTGACTGGAAAACCTATCGATGTCAAGAGTTTAATTAAATTAAATTTCACGAAAAATGCTGAGGGCGAATACCATTGTCCAGTTCTTTTCAAAGTATTCTCACGGCACACGCATATTGTTGCTGTTAAATCTACTGGAAATGTATTCTCGTACGAGGCTGTGGAGCAGTTGAACATAAAAACGAAAAACTGGAGAGATTTGATCAATGACGAGCCTTTCACCAGAGCTGATTTAATTACCATTCAGGACCCAACTAATGTGTCTAAATTCAATCTCTCGAGATTTCATCACATTAAAAATAATCTTAGAGTTGAAGATGCAGGTAAATATGACTCCAAGTATTCTTGTGATATTCTATTCAATAGGATAAACAGAGGCATAGTTGAGAATGATGCAGTTTGGAGAAATCATTCAGTTTCATAAAAGTCATACATACGTACGACCACAGTCGAAAAATTGCATTTTTGGACTTTTTGGGTCATAATGGGTCGATATAGCACGAAAAATCCCACGCTTTAATTTGAATGATTAAAATGCTTCCATTCGGAAACAAATAAACTCTAGTAACTAGTAAGATTTTAAAATTTCACAACAATGTGGTACGGAAATCTGGTGAGCAAGAAATACTGGAAAAGAGTCAAATTTTTATTGACTTTAGAAATTTTTTTCTGGAAAATTAGATAAAAATGGTCTAGTCTCCGAAATTTCTATTTGGACCTTCATTAGCTAAGAACCTTGGGTTCGTGAATAAGGAATATCGAGGTTCTCAAAATGAGAACATTCTTGTTTTTAATTGATGATTTTTCCTGTTCTATAATTAATTCACTCATATTCATAAATCCTTTATAAAAGAAGGCATATCACTTGCTTCCTTAATCAAGATAGAGATCAATGTTGAATTAATGTTTCGTTATACCAAGATTTCGTCCCTCTCGAATGTTCTTAGTTAAAAAACGCAGTTCTTAATCTAAGGACCCAATGGTTCCTTATTAAAACAACATTTTCAGTTGAAATAAGTAAGTTTTTTGTACAGAATATTAGGTATTTTTCTTCTGAAATCCCGTAACCAGTTTCGTAATCTCAGTACAACGCTTCCTCGAACCATGACTTCCGTTAAATTAGTGACTTCGTCTTGCAAACTAGAAACTGTTTTTCTCTGTGAATTCATTAAAAAAAATGCCTCAGGACAAAATGTCAAGAGCCCTTTTGAAGATTTGATGATCCACGACAAAACATTATGATTACGATCACAATTTAATTTCGTGGAATCGTCCTTCTGTTTCATTCAAACCGAAATTAGAATTCTCCTCTCATCTAGCACAAACTAATTGAGTGATTTTTCATTCTCAGATGCAGTTAGAGATCGTAAAAATCCAAATGCAAGATTGAAAACGGTTTCGATGGAAACTCGAGAGACGTTAGCTGAGTTGAAAAGAGATTACAAACCAGCAGAGAAAAAGGAGGAAGCAGCAGCAGTAGTTGCTGATAAATTTAATGCGGTAAGATACTTCATCGTTATTGAAAATCATCGCGGATAATATATAAGGTGTTTATAATACATATTTTCTGTGCTATATGCAATTCTAACGTGGTTAATAGGGGTCGTAACTAACAGTTACTCAAAGAAAAGCCATTGCTTATCTCTGTGACTTGACTATACTAGTAAAATGATGCAGAAAGGAAAAAAAATTTCTTCTGGGAATCATTTTATGGCGAAATATTCGTAGAGAAGATGGTTATACAGACTCCAGAAGTTGACCTTTTGTCATATTTCTAATTTCGATGTTTCTTCCTCCTGTCCTGTCAATTAGGCGCATTATTCTACGGGTGCAGTAGCTGCAGGTTTCACATCTACAGTAATGCCACGAGAAACCATGCACAAAGCAGCTGTAGTCGATGAAGACCTTGTGAGATACGAACGAGTGAAGAAAAAGGGATACGTGAGGATTATTACCAACTTCGGATCATTGAATGTCGAACTATTTGCTGATGTTGTGCCCAAAACATGTGAGAATTTCATGAAGCATTGCCAAAATGGTTACTACAATAATACGAAGTTTCACAGGTCGATAAGAAATTTTATGGTGAGTGAAGAATGGAAGAAGAGGAATAGATTTTCATCATTCAAAATCCAGACGTTATGGAATTAATTCGAGCAAACTTGCTATGACATTAATTCAGGAGATTGAGCCATTATTAAGAGTGCTGTTTTATTTTTGTTCAGATTCAAGGAGGAGACCCCACAAATACAGATAATGGAGGGCAATCAATTTGGGGAAAACCTTTTCCTGATGAATTCAAGCCGAATTTGGTCCACCAGGGCAGAGGCGTACTCTCGATGGCCAATTCTGGGCCGAACACTAATGGCTCTCAATTGTAAGTATTCAATTTTTTTTTATTATTATGCAGTTATAGATGAGAAGTGGAAATTAATGTTGAATTATACTAATTGAATTAATTTTATGCCTTTCGAATGTTCTTAGTTTAACAACGCAAAGGTTATTAACTTCGCATGTAGTCATCGACGAGAAATGAAAATTCATGTAACTTACCATTGAACCTCCTAGGGAAAATCCTCGATTTTTTGTGTGGCTAAAGAAATTTCCTACTTAAGAAATTTCCGTCACATTGCCCTTTATTTTCATTTCCATTTTTAGTCTTCGAAAAATGGACAATTGAGCTCGAAAAAAAATAGATAATGTAGATAATAAAAATAGATAAAAAAATACATTATCAATTTCGAAACTAATTCCATAACAGGCCGTGTATAAGGAAAAGTTTTCGTCGTTTCGTTTATCAAAGCTGTTGCAATGAAATTTTTTATTTTTGAGAGGGTCTCAATTTCGAATTATTTGACAAAACGAAATAATTCGCAAAATTTTAATAACATTTCAGTTGATATTCGATCTATGGCCTGAAAAACTAGAAGAGAAGAGAACAGTGAAATAAGAATTTTAAAAAAGAGAATCCATTCGGAAGCAAATTGCTAATTTATTAGCAACAATAACTATGCTCATTTATAGAAAAAATGCAATTATCCACTTTTTTCAGCTTTATTACATTTCGATCCTGTCGTCACCTGGACCGTAAACATACGATTTTTGGAAAAATTGTGGGTGGGATGGAGACCCTGAACGCAATGGAGAAGATTGAAGTGGACAATAAGGACAGGCCTATCGAAGACATCATACTTCAAACGGCTCAGGTATTTGTGGATCCATTTCAAGAGGCTGATGAGCAGTTGGCTGCCGAGAGGGCTGAGGAAACGGAAAGAGCTGAAAAAGAGGCTGAGCGATTGAAATCTGGAAGAAAAACGGACGATGATGGTGTACTGAAAACTTACAGATCTGGAGTGGCCAAGTATCTCCAACCGGGAACCAGTTTAGAGTGAGTATTATGAATTTCCTCTCCTGACGATCATTACACTGCAAGAATTGCTCTCAACTCTCCTTGGTAATTAGATAAGAGTCCTACACTGCTTGAGGGAGAAAAAAAATATGTTCCCGAACAAGTCTTGTTTTAACGAAGAACGTCGCGAATTCATAAGTGCCTAGATGGATATTATTTTATTTGAACATACGAAAGTTTCAAATATGAATAATCACTCTGCTTTCAACAACAAAATATTTAACTCAAGAGGCCGATTATTCAAGTGAGATGGTGCCTTTTCAGGATGATGTGAATAAAGTCAATCATTGAGTCAACCAAGATAATATTTTGTACTTATTGTTTAATAATTATTCTATTCTATTTGAAAAATCATTTCTCACTTCTAACATTTTTCTGGGATAAAATACGTATAGTAGTATAGAATAATGCACAGCTAGTGCTAGAGAAAAATGTTTACTTGCACAGAAAATAATTTTTTTTTGATCAACTGAGTCTATTTTTGTGACAAAAATTCTTCATCTCAGGATGCTCTTCAAATGTTTAGGAGATTTTTTTTATTCTTGGGGATTTTTAAATGGCAATTTTTTTCGTTCGATCAAGACTTCTCTTGACACATTGTTTTCCTCTCGGTATAACTGTTAAGAGTATTACTTAATAGTAACGAATATCGTGGGAATGGTAGATTCTAAGATAATATGTTATGGTAACTTTTCTGTAGGTGGAGAAATTTATGTTGAAAACTAATCAGATATGCTCCTGATTTTGTCCCAATTTTTTTCTGAAAAGATGGTGATTAGACAAAAACGTGAAAAAAAGAAAAATTGAAAAATATTGATAATTGAGGGAATTATCATTTTCTGAAAATGACTAGTTTGTCCAAAAAAATTTGTTTTTCAAATTGGCCTCAATATTTTGGCGGGGTCTCAAGCTATCAAATCGCCCTTAGGCACACTCAAAGAACATGCAAAATCGACGTTATGTATTGCATTATCTTCAGTTTGACGGGGCTTATACGAGAAGACGTTTTTTTTCACTCGTTAATTACTAAAACGCTAATTCTTAAAAAATCTGAAATTTTCACCAAAAATTGTCAATAAAATGAAAAAAATTTTGGCGCCAATTAGAATTTATCTTTCGCCCTAGTTGAGCGGTTATAATTTTTTTCAGTGGGACAAGTATTGAAAAGGAACGAAAATCGCTATTGTTGGTGAAAATTTCAGATTAAAAAAAAGCTTTTTGAGTAATTAACGATTAAAAAAAAAGTTTTCTCATACAAATCTCGTCAAACTCACGATAATATTAAGTATGACGTCTCATTTTGAAGGGTTTTTCATGTTTTTTGCGTGTGCTAAAGGGAAATTTGATATCTTGAAACCTCACAGAGAAATTGGGGCCAATTTTGAGAAAAACATTTTTTAGACAAAAACTAGCAATTTTCAAAAAATTATGACTTCCTCAATTATTTATATTTTTCAATTGTTCTTTTTTCAAAATTTGGTTAATTATGATAATTATGAATGCCCATCTGCACCTCTGTATATCTATGACATATATCTATAACTGATTTTACAATCCCCATCTTGACTATGCATATGATAATTTTTAATATTTTCACTGAAATACTGTAAATAATTACGTATTATTATGATTTTTTTGCCCTATAATTGGCCTTGTGCGGTTGGATCTGTATACAGCGGTAAATAAATAAATAAATAAATAAATTTTTGTCTAATCGCCATCTTTTCAGTAAAAAATTGAGACGAAAATCTCCAGCATCGACTTTTTGTCCTGTTGATTTGGCCTGGATCTCCTCATATGTGGTTCTAAAGGAATCGCACAGCACTGAACATTGCTCCATCTTCAAAAGATAATTTTATTTATTTATTTAGTTATTCATCCAAGCAGTGCATTCCAATATAGGCTATTATTGTAATCATCGGCAATTCTAATGAAACGTCACGTTACTGACGTATCAATAATTGATATTTTCGGGATCAGCAGTTTCTAATTCGAAGTGAATTCCATGATTCTTTCATTTTCCAGATCTTCAAAGATGGAAGGACCCTCAAGAAAGAAGAGGAAAGGTGCCCCTCAAGTGCTAGACAACTTTTCTACTTGGTGAATCAGTGTAAACTTCCATTTTTATGTGTTGCACCAATAAAATAAATTGTCTGTAAATAATAAATGAACCATCTTTGTGATACCTTGTGAAACATTTATTAGGGGAGGGTGGGGTAAAATAGACACTTTTGACTGCTTTTTAAATGTTCATGACGTATTAACTTGTTCATGAAATGGAATAATTTTAGTTTTCAATTGAAAAAGCAATGATGCCTCTTTGTGATGGGCTTAGACTGAGCTCAATTGATAAATCTGGTTCTGAGTTATAAATATTTTTTAAAATGTCAAAAGTGCCCATTTTATCCTACTCGCTTCTAAGTCATACCTCTTCCCCTCTCATCACAATTTCCCTCAACTTGTTTATCGAACCATTTTTCCTCCTCATTTTCCTAGAAATAAAAAAAAATGTAGAAAAATGAAGCATTGAAATTGTTTCGATAGTATTATCTTGCAGAAAGCAATAGTTGATTGATTAATTGGTCCGGTTTAGATGGATTTTAACTATAATCAGATAAGACTAAAAGAGAAAAATCTTTTAATTTATGTAGAGAATTCTTGGAACCGGATCCACCATGTTTGTTTTCCTCGGTCCCTCCCAGTACAACTCAGAGTCAGCAGTGCAATTTTTATTTCTCATTCTTTCGTTCCTCTTGTGCCTTTAGACCACTGAAAAGTGAATCACCGTGACATTCATTCATTGGGACGGAGGGATAGACATTTATCGAAGTAAAATGGACGATTTGGGTGAGTAAATACTCTGTTATCAATCTAAATCATTTTATAACCTCAAATTTTCCCTTCAGAATAAATTCTCAAGCATCTGTTTTATCCTCATTACTTAGGTATTATTATAGTTAATTGATCTTATAAGAAAAGAATTTGGATGATTGTTTTGGACGATCATTTTGTCGTTTTTTGGGAGAGAAAATAATTGTTGATTTTTTGTTGTTTATTCTGCTGTCAATTTCCGACAAAACCCGGGAAATTTAAAAGTCATTCGATTTTTTACGTGCTGTTGGGTTGCCATGGAAGTGTGAGTGAGTCAGGGCTAATTTTAGATTCTGATGACATTTATTATCAGAGAGTGGATAATCGGATGTTTGTACTTTCACGAATAAATGTCTACTGTTCATGGTTATCGTTTCGTGACCTTCCGAAATGGTAGGGGAGAGCGTTGAGAATAATTGCAGTTTTCAGAGGTCTATTGGAGTCTGACGTTTGCGATAACTGTTAGATAATAGTGATTATATAGGGGAGAGTGGGCAAAATGATACAGCCGAAAAACAACTATTTGACGTAATTCAAGCAAAAAAAATTTTTTTTTCAACTTTTGCTTCCGAATGGAAGCAAAAAAAACTTACAATCCAATAAGGGATTTTGACCCTTTTAACGTTGGTGTACCCTGAGACCTCTTGTTTTTTAATTCTCTTCTCCTCCACCAGTGGAGAAATAGTATTTCGGCTCGGATTATAAACTCACATTCGCCAGATAATGCTTTTATGGCCGTGTGACATAAAGTACTTTTATGGTACAAGCGAAAAAAAGGGCACTTTTTTGCACGTTTCGTGCGCAAACAACCGCTTTTTTTCACCAGTAGTATCAAATATCGTACGTTACATATGAAAAAATGAACTTCTTAACGAATGTGATTATAGATCTCGCTTTCGGTTCGGCCTGTAACCCTCATACTCGTCAATAACTTTCTTCACTTGTATCGTCATATGCTATAATCCATCCGACGAAATTTTAGATATCGAAAAAATAAATACGGAAAACGCTCTGTGCGGTGCACCGAACCTCGAAATAGTATATTCCAGCCTGGAATTTCCAGGGCGAGTGCCATGGGATTTTTTATTCGCGTGCAGTTGACGTTTAAGCCGAAGGTGAGGACTGACCAACCACGCAAGTAAAAAAAACCCATGGCCCTAGCTGTGATGTCTTGACGCTGATTTTGATGGTTGGTAGCAATGATCAGCCATCTTTGTCCGCGATATTCAAATTAATATAAAAAATTAATTAAATAACGTAAAATCTTTAAATACTGAGAAAAGTCGAGAATGAAAGGACAATGAACAGGGGACGAAAAACAACTTCGCAGGCGTGAGAAAAACCGTTGCCGGAAATAATAAATGTCAAGTACTTGAGTTTACTTCGTAAATTTACAGCTCTCCAAAATTCCTCAAAACAATACTTTTCTTGAAATTCTGAAATATAGAGAGAAAATAAACTCGACGGTTACGGTCGTAAAATTGTTAAGTCTCGGTTCTGAGATATTTAGAAAGTCTCTCTGATTCACGTGTTCCACACGTGTTGAGTGTTGAGTTCTCCTTTGTTCATTGTATCGCGGAGCTGAAGGGCCTGAGACCCCTCAAGAGGGAATACTGTTGACGTCACACGCTCCCCTTTCTCCCTCTTTCGCTTCCCGATTTCTCTTTTAAGTTACCCCTCTTCCCTTTACTCCGGGCCAAGATTGCGCGCGCAACTTTTGGTCTAGTGGGGGTGTATGGACCCAACCCTTAGATTTTTAGTTTAAGTTAGAGACAGTCCCATCGTGGCTGTTGTTCCGACAACTGTTCCAGCTTCTCTCTTCGATTAGTTTTTCTTAAAGTTTTCCATAAAAGTTTTATCAAGTGTATTTGTCTACCAAAGATTTCAAGTTTAAATTAGAAGTTTGAAATAAATAGTGTTAATGTGCTCTCCTAAGCACTAGTGTTTTGATTTATTCTGGAATACACCTTCAACCCATTTATTCAAAAAATGAACGAGTCAACATCGATGGAGTCCTCATCAGAGGTTTAGCGGCTAACGGATCCACATTTCGAAGTTTGGCGCTCGTTATTTCAAAAAGGCGCCACTGTCCTCCTAGTAACATTGATAGGACATAACATAGCCGTGAACGATATTTTTCCGCAGTGATTTTTACTTTTACGAGTTTCGGGAAGGGCCAATACCAATCCGCGGACGAGGAAAAGTGAAGATCAGCCCGGAAAAAGCATTCGATTAAATAGGTGCGGGGGGGGGGTGAAATATCTCTCTCATTCACCCCGGTACTTCATTGTTCTTCGCCGCCATTTCATTTAGCACATAATTCTATATCTCCCAATTTTTTAATCCCCTGGGGGGAGAGGGGTGGAATGTTCAATTTAACTCTATATTGGTCAACATATGAGGAAAACTTCACAGGGCGTCGTTTTTCTTTAACTGGCATTGACTGGTTAACCGGAAAAATAAAAAAAAAGACTTTTAATTGAAGTGTCTAATAGTATATTGTATTACTAATGCGTAGAGTTCCACTTTTTCACACGCACGAGTAACGCATCCTATTTTTGGTGGTACCTGTCGAGTGCACTGTTCGGAACGGTAGTGGGAGTAATGTGGTTGTTTTTGTGCACGAGTTCGTAAAGTTCAAAAGCGTGCGTAAAGGAAATTTCGAGTGAACGAGAATTTACGCATGCTCGTGCACTTTACACATGCCGTGTGGAAAACAACCGCTTTACGTACACTAAGCCGTTTCAAAAAGTGCACTTCTGAGGCAGGTATCACAAAAAAAAATTATAGTGGTTTTTAGAACAACATACTCCCGGAAATTTCGGGGAAAAAAATAAATTATTTCCAACCAATCAATTACTTCTTCCGATGTTAAATGAAATTGGCCGTTAGGCGAAGTTGCCGAAACTCCCTAAACGCGCCCAGACAATATAGAGGGAATTCGGAAATGTTGGAGCCCAAAGAACAGGGCGGTGAATCCTCGCGGAGGTAACTAAAGCCGGAGGGTCGTTCATAACATTCACGGTTCATAACATTCTAGACCATTTGCCATCAAAATTAGAAAATTGAAAAATCGCTCAAATATAAAGCTTCCATTCGGACGCAAAAACTACCTTTTTTAGTGAACATTAAAAAATGTCATTTATGTTACTAAGCCCGATAAAATAGTTGACATAACACGGTCCATGTGTGATCATAAATCCACATTCGTCAGAAAAAACTTTGTGGGCCTAACGAAGAAATCTATTGTTTTCAAGGAGACACATGACACCCTTCGACAATTACTCCTTTCCAATATTCTCAGTGTGATAATCCCACGGTTCTTAATTTAAGAACTTTTCTGATTGGTAAAAAAATTGATTTTTTCGTTCTAAATTAGAGCAATTTTTCTCTTGAAATTAACCAGTTCCTCATTCTCAGTAAAATGCCTTCTGAAAGCATTAAAATCAGTAACTTGGTTCCGGAAACTGGAAACTTTTTTTCCTTGTTCAATTATTTTGGGTATTACTAAGTGAATAATGATAAGCCCTACGGGGTTAGCCGGTGTAATTCACAAACACCACCCATCACTCATATTGGGTATAAAGCCAAGGGCTAGTGACCTAGATTAGACACGTACAATTAAGATTGTATATTTTGTACATACACATGGATATAAAACTTATTGATGTTAATATACTTTTTCAAACGTAAAAAAAGTTTAAAAAACGGGGCTAGCGCACTGCGGTGGTAGGCAGGCTTAGCTTTGGAAAACTAAACAGCGCTGAGCGTGGTCACTAGGTGGATGTCTGGCCGCGCGGGAACACCTCGCAATAAAGAAACACTGAAAAAACTGGAAAGACCATTGGGGAAAAAACAAATATGCGGCAAAAATGGGATGAAGGAATGAGAAACCGTAAAAACCGAAAAGTATACGGTGAAATGGAAACAAAGTGAATAATGCTATTTTATGATTTCCACAATTGTATGGTTCAGTAGCAAAATATTGAACGTAGAATAAGTTGATTATGCAAAAGTACCGATACATTTTGGGACTATTTACCGGGGTGTAAAGGGTACGTTAATGTCAAATCCCCCTAATGCAATAAGCTTTCAACGTTTATACCATTGAATTATCTCTACGAAGTTACTTTGATCCTTGTTGTGAAATTGATTTTCAAACGAATTTAAATCATTTTTTCACTGAAGAGAAACTGTATACAGTTTCTAAACTTAATAAAATAAAATTAAATAATGAAATAAAATTTGTGAATCCATGAGAACTATGAAAATAGAGGATTGTCAAGTGGAAAATTTTTTATTGAGGAAACGTCCATGATAGGGAGAACATTCAGCATCGTGACTAAATTAGTTGTGACTAATTACGTACCCAAAAAGGGTTTGATAGCTCAAGACAGGATTCCCGTCACGAATATATCGTTTTCTTAATGACGGAAGTTGCAGTTCGTAAGGAAACGCCTATTCTTGGATCTCTGATTAGTCAAGGGAGAGAAATGTTCAGCAAAAATTACGGAACTCACAGTTTGATCAACGATTATGGAATCGACTCAGAAAATTTAACTGAAAGTATCGTAATTTTTCACATGAGATTTAGGTAAAAATTACAGAACGCTCTGGAAAAATTTCGTGATTTTAGGTAAAAATTACGTGACAGTTCCGTAAAACTTCCTACAACCACTCTGACTCTTTGTAAAACCTCGTAAAACTGGAATTATAAAAAAACTTTTGGAAATTAATGCAATGCCTGTAATTGATTGCAAAAAAATCAATTAATTCAGGAAAAAAATCGAAGCTTAAAACGTTAATATTATAATGGAAAACGAGGGGCTGGGAAATCCAAGATCGAGTGACACCATGACTGCTAAATGCAGTCAATTTCACTCGATAACGTTAATGATTTCCATGATTTCATTGAATTTATTATTTCAGCGATTTCAAGCGTAATTATCGGTGATTTCATGATTCACCATGATTTCATCGACTTCATCCAACTGAAATCAATGACTTCTGCTCATTGAAATAATTGAAATCTCACCGAACCGAAATAATAATTGATACCAAAGAATTATTCATCAGAACTATTGAATTTATTGTCACGAAATATTGACGAACAAATCATTACTAGTATATCCAATAAACTATTATGACGAATTCTAAAAGTATTTGTTTACTTTTCTCAAAATTCTTTGGTCAATTGTTAAGTTCCCCTTAGCATCAAAACTTGGAGGTGAAAGTCTTTTGATACTGTTTGATGTCGATATAGCCTTGAACCATCATTGACTGCGGAAGTAACGTATCTGAATCTTTTTTCATAATATACCAAGATATTCGCAAGAAAAATAATCATAATGATTTTGCTTTGTGCATGTAAAGTGAGATTTGGACGTCGGTCACATGCATATACTGATTTCTTTGATTTTATTGACTGCAGATGACGTCACGAAATGACTTCACAGTTTGAAATCATGAGATATCGGTGATTTCCATGATGCCAGCGATTTCATTGATTTCCGACGTGACTGCAAATTGATTTTAGTGGCATGTGACACCATGATTTCAGAAGTTCCCAGCCCCTCGATGGAAAACGTTATTTAAAAAATTGGATTTTTCGTGTTCAGCGATTGAATCAGGGCTCGATAATATTAGTACCTCCTTTCGTTTCATCCCCGAGATCTACAGACGAAACACCTTAATTACTTTAAATTTTTGTTATAGTAAGAAAAGAAAACCTTGGTTCAAGGATAAAAAGTTACCTCGAAAAATTATTTCCTGGGTCAATAGAGCCAGAGCTAACCATCTCAGCCTAGCATAATCACTGACGCGAATTGAAATCACTAATTCCCCAATATGCAAGTGCGGATATAAAGAAGAAAGTATTAATCATGTTTTATGGGGATGTCCGATGCACACTAATGCTAGAGGAATAATGATCAGAAAATTATGCGATAATCTTTTTTTCACCATCCTGTGTCCGGGAGTTTTTGGCTACACTAGACAAAATCTCTCTTGTTATTTTTAATGAACTTGATAAATGTTCAATAAAAGTAGAAAGTCAATGTAACCTGAGTCTCATGCACGAAAACCTATCTATACTGTTTACTGTATGCAAGTTAAACCTTTAAGGTTCAAAAATGTTTAATAAAACAAAACTATTAATACTCTGATTTTTATGTGGGATTTAGGGAACACCTCAGATATTTTTTCAATCATTGTGTTTACTACTTCAGCATTGATAAAAACGAAAATTGTTGGACGAATATAATTATTCACACCTTTACCTACCCAATTCCATTTTCTTTTCTCTTTATTATGTTTATTTTCTAGAGGGAAGACTGGGGCAAAATGGTCAATGGGACAAAATGAGACTCTTCTAAAATTTGAGATTTCACCCAAATGATTGATTGTTCTACAGTTACTAATGAAATACCCCATTGTTAGTAGATTTAAAGTAATATAAACATACCTCAAATTTCAAAGATTACAATCTGAAAAAATTCTAAACGGAAGTTTATAAGACTAGAATCATTCTGGTTTAGCTATGTAACCGTTAGGTTTGTGCTTAAATAAAAAAAATCATTCTGGTCAAGTTAGCGTTCAATTCTTAGTCTAGTATTATTGATAATAATGAATTAATAAATGCCAAAATAACACAGAGTTTTATAAGAAAATCAGCAATTCGAGTTTGGAAAAAGATTAAAATCCAAAAAAAATCTTGAAAAATTAGAAAAAAATAAATAAAGATTCTCCGCCTAATAGGAAAATTAGCGGGTGTGTCAAACTTTTGTAATAAATAATTTGTGTATCTGGATACTCCGAATGTACACGATGCCATAGTCAAACGAGAAACTATTGTTTAAGAAAATAATTGTACAGAGACTTTAAAGGTTCCAAATTCAAAGATTCAAGTTTATGCGAAGGATAAACTTGGCGAACCATAATCCTTGCGACATTTGATCCATGTGGCGTTTGAGCCCCGCACGGAACAACTATTACCAAGTATGATGGTTGCGACGTTTGAGCCTCGGAAAGTATGACCATGACAAAGTTTGATCCTCGTAAGGTATAACGGGAGAGGTTTAATTATTCTTGATTTATGATCCATCGCCCTTAAAATTTCATAGACAGCCCACTAATAATTTTCAGAAGATAAATATTGAATGCGATTTAGGGGAACAAATAATAAAATTTCAAATTTCAAAGAAAATTCTAAATTTTCAAGCAGCATTAAGACAAGAATTCCTCAACAACCTATTAGAATTTTCTACGAAAAAAATGAATATTTAATGTAAAATTGCGTTGAATTTCCAATTAATTGAAAATTCAAGATTATATTTATCGAAATGTCCGTGATTTCAATTAAGTTACAGGGAATAATTAAACTTACATTTGCAGTTCTCATTGATTTTCTCATGAAATTCTGAATTTGGAATGACGAAATTCCTTGAAATTTTAGTAGAATTAAAATGTGATAAAAATTCCCTGAAAGTGTACCTGAAATTTACAGCCAAAAAATGTTCAAGTGTACAAAAAAAATCGAGTTATGATGAACTTACAAAAATTCATAACTATAAGATGAAATATTTTTATGAGACAAGAAATTTTATTATTCCCATAAAAACTAGAATATTGCTCACAACGACGATTAGAGATGGTCTTAGATAGAAGTTCCTTTTTTTTATTCGAAAACTTATTTTCCTACTTATGTGATCTGTGAAACGACGTTACATCGAAAAAAAACACTGGAAGGGTCTCATTCTGCCCCGGAAAATACGAAAAATGCCATTGAAAAACTTCTTCAAAAACCGGGGGACTAACGATGCCAGGTTAATGACACTTGAAAAAAAAATTGAACAATCAACAGCAACAACGCTTTTCAGATGAGATAATCCGGTAGTATTTCGTCAGTCTCACTGTATTTATTTTTAACCGTAAAATCTCGACACTCAGACTTCCACGACAGTCCTCTTGAAACTGAACATTGTTGGATGCTGCAGGCGTGTGTGTAAACGTTTCATTTCGTCGGGTCAAAGCGTCGGTAGTTGCTTTCGTATGACTTGTTGTTCACTCGTAACGTTTAGAACGTTCCAAACCTCACTGCGTTGCTATTTGAATTCGCCGTTTTCGTTGCAAATTATTCGGAGAAATCGTTGAAACCTCGTGGGCGTAGGCAACAAGTGTCTGTTCCGCAATTCACCTCAACCGGAGAGTTAAAAAAAGATTGTTCCCAAAAGTTTTATCAGCAATATGAAATAAGATGACTATAAAAAGACTGAACCATTTTATTTCATTTCTGGAAGAATTTTGCAGGATCCGGAAAGTGATGAATAATAAATTCGTTGTTTTAGTAATTTCGTGACTTGAAAAATTTCATCTTACTCGAATTATTGAGTATTAATTAATTGTTGTGACAATGGATAGAACGATGTACGGAAAAGTTCACCCTGGGGCCACTTACATACCATACAGGATTACCTCTAAAAAAGCTGAAGCACCTGGTTGTGAGTGTTTACTTTAAATATATGAAGCAGAAATCTTGAATTCTCTTGTGCGATTCGGACAGTCAAAACTATCAATTAATTTTTTCGGGAATAACTAGCAACTGTTTCGACTCTTTCAGTGCCTGGACGACTTCATTAGTGAAAAGGCCACGTGGCTAATGTTAATTGTCAAAAGTTCTTCAATTATTCATTTGTCTATTTATTTTGGAAGCAAGTGAATTTACTTCAATATTTCGTGATGGTTTTCAAGTCAAGCAAATGTAACGTAGGCGGAGTAGCTCGATGATTTGGCATTAACTCACTCAGTAATTAGATAGTAAAGCAGTAACATAGAGGCTCCGTAACGTTTCACTACCTCTCTAATTAATTAATGATTTAATCTCCAATGCAGCAACTGCAATCATTTTTGTTTCGTTCATAATTCGACGAACTCTATGCGTTGAGGAACTGGAATCAATCGTTAAACGTGAAATCCCTGGAAACAAGAGAGGATATACAACAGTTACCACAGAGTTTGATGAGAATTCCTCTGACGTTCCTATGTAATTTTTAAAAAATTTTTACCTATTGAAGAGGAAAATCTGATGATTAAAAATATGATTAAAGATGAGGGGTCACTGATGAAATCTGGTGTACAAATGAGATTGAAATCTTATAAAATCTTGAAATCTCGTGAAATTCCATGAAATTGTGATGAGGACTTCATGGAATTTTGAGAAGGAATTCATAAATCCCATAGAATTTTTTGAAATATCATTTCGAATCCATAAAAAAATATTGAGGTGAAGGTAAATGAAGGAGTATGTGACCTGAAATAATTATAGTATCCTTTTTTTATTATACTTCGAAGAGATTACTCGTATTCAACGAGTACATTAATAATAACTTGAGGATTTATTTACTTAATAATGGCGCTCATTCTTTGTATAATACTCGCTTTATATTCAGGCGAACCATTCGTACTAGATGGACGAGAAAGAGGGCATCCATAAGTTTTGAGTTCACACCAAGACGGTTTCTATGAACTCACTACAAGCTGGTTGTTCTCAACCTCGTACCATGAGAATATAGACACATGATACCTTTAAAATTTTTCATCCGACATTGCGTTGGTGCACTTGACATTGAGTATTGTAATTGTTTACCTTTATCAACAATATATGAAACTAGCGCCGTCGTTGATGCCCATTTATTATGCCCTTGCTTTTTTTGTTTCTTTCGAAAATTAATGATTTATCGTCGTTTTAGTCTATTGAGAGTTAAAGTTAATGAAAACAATGCGTCTCGGTTCATTGCTTGTTCAATTTCAATATTATAATAAGTGATCCACTAATTCTGAGTTTCCTTCCTCATTGAATGAAATTTTAATTACTATATTGTAATCAAAATTATATTCAGAGTGCAAAACAACAATTATCAAATTTCTCACAGTCCATAATTTTTTTGTCTTCGCCTCCCTCTTTATTTCCGTTTACGACAAAAGTATTCAATTATTTTTCCAGAAAAATTATGGGGTCAATTCTGATCTTCTTTCGCTAATTCGAAGTGTCTTCGCTTCATTCATGATTTTTTTCATGAAACTTTCATCATCTAATCATCTGAAATTTTTTCAAATTTTCTATAATCTTCCGAAATTTATATGACTTTTTTTCAAGAAACTTGAAAATTTTTGTGGAATTATGGAGAAAATCCAAAGAATTACCAAATTATTTCCTCCTTTCGTATTTCAATTAATCAGAGTGCAGTATTCGGGCTTTCATGACTGCTTCGAATCAGTTTTATTTGCGAAATGCCGCCCTTTCCTATCAATTGTTTTCCCATTATTTATTCAACAATCCTCGAATATTTGAGAGATATTGTAAATGCTTTGTAATTTTCAAAAACTCCATAGATTGTCTCTAAGTTCTTCAGAAAACCTCATAATTGTCTTGAATTTTTGGAAAACTCCCGAATTATCTTACATTTGGGGAAAAAATTTACAGTTCTGATTTTTTTGGAAACCTTTTGCAGCCTTCCTCAAAGTTTCTATAATTCATTCCCTATTCACCCCCTTATAGATGGATTTTGTAACGAGGCTGAAACACGTATTTATTAATTTCTAACAATCTCTTGATGAGTGCTCACATAAAAGATAAAACCTACTCTAAAATTTTCATATTATCAGTTTCAATAGTTTCGACTTTTGATTACTATCTTAGTCAAGCTGAAGGGCTCTCTTACCATATTTATAACACAATTCCCGTCGGACTCAGAATTCCTTTCTTCCATTCATTGTTCATAATCATTGTCATTGCAAAAAGCAGTGCGACTGATGAAAATGATGTGCCTCAATTTATTAACTATGAAATATTTATATTGCAATGAATAACCTGCGCATATGCTAATTCCTCTACTCACTGAATAAGATTTCAATCATAGTTACAATTCAATTTCTACTCGAACATAATTCGAAGAGTAAATTGCCGGAATTCAATGTTTGGTGATACTCTGGTAAAAGTGCTTGCCAACACCGTGATACAATTTTTCAATCAGTTCACTCGGTAATTCAATTAATCTATTGTTCATATCATCAACATAATTCCCCATTTAGAATATTGTCACCTCATGTTTTCAGCATCAAATTGGAAATTAAAACGTAAAATGACAATTTGACTTCTGCTGAATTCTTTTTTGTGAATCTGAAATTCATGTTAATGTGTCAGATATTATGAAAATATCATCATTCCTGTTCTCTACTGTTATGGAATATTGAGTCACAGCTGTTCATTCATAACTCAATTTTTTTATTCCTATATTATTATTATTCTTTGTTCAACATGAAAAAGTCTATCATCGTTTGCACTGTAGTGCATTCAGATTCTTCAGCACTTCATGTAAAAAATGTCATATATAAAGTCATAATTCTAGTTATTGATTCTAATTAACTTTGGAGGAAACCTTAGTAAACGCAACATTAAGAAAGTTGAATCATTCTATTGCGCCCGACCTAAATGATTAGAACAATTATAATTGGTTTCTCAATCGAAAATACAGAGTAAGTAATTAGGTGCAGAATATTCACGTTTTAAATGAAAATTCAAGCAACTTTTTACTTTCATACTGTTACGAAATGTTGAATTCCATTAAATTTTCAGTGAATTTTTAAATTTCATGACTTTCCTCTCTCAAATTAAATTAAATGTCTTGCTCCTAATAATTACCACTGAACTATCCATGAATTTCAATTTTTTTCAACAGTATAATTGCTAGGGAAAAATGAAGTCGACTTTCTGAAATACATTAATGAAATGATTGGAAAATCACAATTTTCGGAGACCACAACCGTTTTTTATATAAATAATCCAATAGCATCAATGTTTCACTCAAAGAATAATTTTTTTCGTGTAACGGGACCTGAAAAACCCCATCCTCGCCTTCGACTCGGAAGGCAATCTTGCACGTGGAGGACGGTGATCTGTTTTCCAAGGCTCGGGCATGTAATGTACTATTCCTGAATTATAACGAATTCTTCCATTTTCAGAATTTCACCAAAAATTAATTCCATGGCAAAAAAATCAATATTATTCGATTTTGTGATATAAGTATTGATTGCATTAAACAAACCATCGAATAACCAAAATCAAATGAAAAATTTAAAATTGAATATTTTTAGATTTTCTATTTTTTTTTCAATCCATTTTCGACATTCAAGTTCATTAATCATCTATAATTTAATCTTGTCAGCTCTTAACTTTTATCACCAAAAAATCATTTCGCATTCCATTAATTATAAACAAATGCGTGTATTATAGAAAATATGCACTGATGTATTTAATGTATACACGGTGTTCGTTTCTTATTCGAGGTTAGAAATCCGATTTGTAATTCTAGCGCGCTTTCGTAAATAGCACTGTCGCGGCCGAATTACTCATTCTCATGAAAGTTCTCATGAGAATGCGTCTTTCATCCGCCGCAATGACTCTGAAGATAACATCATGTGGCAATTTATTCGAACGACACTCTATTTCTGTTTCATACGTTCATGATCGAACACGTCCGTTCGACTTCGACTTTCGGTGAATCGATTCGACATTCTTCAATTCGAGTTTTCATTCGGCAGCCATTATGCTTTCCTTTATATATAAGGAAAGCCAGAAGTCTTCCGATGATTGGGTTTTTCTGTTTCTTTTTTTTTATACACACATGAAGTAACACCTCTGTCCCATATAAACTATATCCATATAACATATATCACTTCTCATAACATTTTCAACATTTCAATCAGTTATTCCAGCGTCAGACTTATCCGACCATTTATTGTTCAATGTCAACGAGCATTTTACTCGATTCAAACGATTCAAATCTTCTGAAATCCTATGAATTCTCTTGAAGTCCCTTAAAATCCCTTGAAGTCCTTTGAATTCCCCCGAAATCCCTTGAAATCCTGAAAAGACTTCAGAAATCTTAGAAATTTTGAAATCTAGTGTACATTCTTTTCCCGAGTGATTACCCCCTCGCATTAATTGGAATTACCTTTTGACTGGATAGGCATCTTTTCCTCCGTAATTTATGTAATTAAATTTGTTCTATGATTGCTACAACCTTGTAACAAATTTGAATACGTTCGCAATGAATAACGCAGGCTATTGAGTTATGCGTGGCGTGTGGATTTGACGGCTAAAGTCATGTATTTTTGTTTGAACTAATGCCGCGCGCGCATTAGCACTTGAAAAAAAAAATCAATTAAGGCTCGTCCAACAGCAGTACTGAGTATAAATACCATTGGCAACAGTAGTTGTAGGAAATCACTCAACGACTGTAGTTAATTTACTTCCATATTCAATTTTCCAGTTCAACATATATGAGACAAATCATTGATGATAAATTTTAAAATATTGGAGAAGAATATGGTTTCTATTTCTATCAAACTTCGAATGGAAGTTGTAATATCTCAACAACAGAGGAAAAACATTGATCTGAATTTTCACATTTATGGCAATATGGGATTTAAAACTATTTTA